CACACTTGCCTTTTATATCTTAGCGAGGACATCTAATTGACATAATGCTTTCCCTAGCCGCTTACCCTAACCATCAGAATTGAATACCTAACCCTAACCCTCCACATTTTGAGCCTCAAAAATGCCTTCGAACTTGTGAGGCCTGGAATTTGGGCCACATAAGGGGCCGTTGGTTCCCTCAAGTATTGTAACAGTCGAAATTTTGGTCCTCACAAAGATGTATAAACATGAGCACACACACAAACACACACGCAATATTGTGTTGAAACAACAACAGTAGAGTTGATTTACTCATATAAAGTACATAATGCCAGTGTAAACACAGTTTATTTAAGTCTATTCCAGTCTATCATCAAACAATAATGTTAAAATTATATGATTCAGTAAAGATCATCGTCTGTGAAAATGTTACATGCTTTCTTTCAGCATTATTTGTCCATGGCAACAAACAGAATAGTCAAAACACAACAGTCAAGTTAGTCATAAGGATTAGAAATGTTTGATTAAGGTAGGGACTGATAGCTGCTTCCAGCTAATAAACATAGAAGTCTTTCTTGCATCTCTGAGATGATACAGGGAAGCTCAGTCTGAATTGTTCAGAATTTAAAAAAATTGACATAGAAATTGTTCACATATTTAAGTGCAACAGTTCTCAATGTAAATAGAGCATGTGGGGGGCTCTGTAGTAGATAATGTTATTAAAATATTTGAGAAAAAATGTAGAAATCTCTGTACACAGGGGACAAGGCTAAAAACCAATATTGAGTGGCCGTGATCTCTGGGCTCCGAAATCACTGAGTGGTCTCAGGAGGTCTTTAACCCTTTAAAACCGGTCAGAGCGGGCACGCTCCGTTTTGCGCAACTACTTTTAAATCCCAGTAGCACTGCAACCACGTGAGCTAGCGCAATAATTTGTTTTGCATATGAAACCGGAGGAGTTGTACTTACTTCTTATGCCATCAGCTTGTCCTAGGTCACAGTTTCCTTCCACATATATCTTTGCAAAAACTGCATAAAAAGCACTTGCAGCAACAAAAACATAATATTCCAGAAACACGCTTTGCCGATCCGATCAGCTGTTCATAACACTTCCTGCGACGTCAGCACGAACTATCGCACGTCCGCCATGACCTGCCCGAAACCAGAAGTGACGTCATTTTCGTGGAAATGTAGTTTTTTACCATCACGGTCTCATGGACATACTGGTGTTTTTAAAGGTTATGTTTGACTTTATGACTTTCTGTGTTGTTTCTGGGATGCTTAGGACTCATATTGCACTGCTGGAAATAGTTTATTTTGATCCATATGCTGTTTTTTTTGCAAATTTGCACTATAATATTTATTTTCGTTTTTCCTGCAGTGTATAAAAATTGGTGTATTTCAAAAATAAAACTATGAAGACACTCAAAATAAATTTCCTGTGGTGGGAAACTAGTTTGTGCAACATTTTGTATTTACAGTTTTGAGGGATAAGCCTCTTAAAGTTCTCTAACTAGAAATATATGTTAAAAAAACAAAAACGATTTTCAATTTTTTTTGTAGTTTATTGCACTTTTTTGCAATTTATGTAATTACTATGCACTTAATGCATACATATTATTAAAATCTAGGCTGTAATGGTTGTATTGATGTATAGCAACTTGAAATGCTCCCAAAAATAGCACCACACCATGTAAAAATATAATATAAGCTCTGGCAGACTTGGTTCTATGGTAGGTCTTAAAGGGTTAAGAAACAATTTCAGTTTGTTGCTATGGGAATGCAAGTTACCGTACAATTACCGTACAAGAAAAAATATGCAAAATAAATTTTGGAATTCTGCTAACTTTTCCTGGCCTTTTTTATTTTTATGAGCTTAATTGAGATGCACTTTCTGATTTCTTTCTGGAAATCGTGGATGACACGTTCTTTGAGCTGAAGAGGAGAGCAATCATTGGCTTGTTCAATAATAATATGATGCTACAGGGGTGTATTAGTGGGTAACTTAGGTTCCATTAATGCTGAATGATATATAGATGTTTGTCCTTTTCAGGGGCAGTCTTGAAGACTTTATCAAGGGGACGAGTGCTAAATACCATAAATATAATCCACTGAAAACATTTAATCCACTGTGGAATGAAAAATTTGACAAAGAAAGCTAAAATTTTATAATGAGTAACAACAGGAAGCACTGGGTTCATTGGTTTCTGCGGTTTTCAAACAGAGCTGTTTTGGAACAAGTGCATCAGATTTAAAATGTATGTATCATATATTTTTCAAATAAAACACACACAAAAAAGTGTTTTCAACACTTGATGTCTTTATCTGCTTTATTTATATTTTACTGAGTATCCCAACTATTTGGAAAAAGTTGTTGTACATAAATATTAAACTCACTCGTCTCTTTGTTAGGTACAGTTTGCCCTTGCTTTCAGAACCACCTTAATTCTTTATGGCATAGATTCAACAAGGTTGCTGGAAACATCCTTCAGACATTTTGGCACATATTGATGTGATAGCATCACACAGTTGCTGCAGATTTGTTTGCTTAACATCCACGATGACAAACTCCTGTTCCACCAAATCCCAATGGTGCTC